ACGCCAAATCACCTGAGGCCTCTCACTCCCCCTAGGTGAATCCACCTCAAGAGGATCGCGGACCGCATCTTGACCCGAAGTAACTTCTTCGGTATGGTGATCTATGGCTTGAGACGAGGTACCCACCTCGGCTCCATCGGATTCACCCCTCCCATCTAACAGGCTATCGAAACTAAAGCTAGACATGGAAAGACATGGAATCGAAAAGGAGAGCTAGGGAAGACTCACCAAAGAGAAACCGAACTTAAGAAAGGAAGATGACCTCGGGAAGACACCGAACTGAAGAGACACCAAGCTAAAGAACTTGAGCACGACCTCAAACCGAAGGCTAGCGAATTTGTGGCGAAGGAAATGAGTCTCGGGCCCCCTATTTATAGCCGTTGTGTTCGAGAATCAACAGTCGAGATCAAAGTGATCCAACAGCTGCTAGGAAAACCGGTTGCGCGACCCCTGAGTTTATAGATGGCGTGACGTCCGTGCGTAAACTAGACGCGATCTGGGTCATTCTTGGTTGAGTCAGGCAAACGAACAGGTCCGACCAACGATTTACCCGACAAGTTGCCTAGACCTCGTGCCAAATCCACCTGGACTCATCATGAACTCCCCACACAGGGTTGGGACCCCTGGCTCGGGGAGTGGGGGGCAATTGATGAAGGGTGATTTGGCCCAACCTAGTAAAAAGGGGACACGTGGACACGACCTGACCAAGACATGACAACTCAACCTGACAAATTCAATTCGCAACAGTTGAGCTCGCGTATTCAGTCACCTCGGCATAAAGGCCACCTCGGCTTAAGGCCCACCTCGGAGCAGGGCCACCTTAGCGCAAGTCTCACCTTGGCATCGAGGCACCTCGGTATTCAAGCCACTTCGGAACTAAAAGACCGAAGTTCCAGTTCGGAACCAGCAACTTGAATCACCACGTAACTAACTCCCACGTAACCAACTCCAGAGGTCTCTCCAACGAATCCCGAATCCCTCGAGATCACGATGAGTTAACAGACCCCAACTTTTCCGGGATCACGATAAGGACTTATCTTGACTCCGCAGGAAAAGGAAGTGGAAAGAGATAAGCCTTATCTGTATATTGCTCCTTCGGAAGCAGAGCAAACTCCATCTCCACATCCTGGATATCCCGGAAATCTTTCGTGCGCCTCACGACTACTCAACTATATAAAGGCTCCAACCCCGATGGCACAAGGTACGCGTGATTTTTCTGCTCTCTAGCTCTTTACATTCTCAAAGCTCTTTAGCTCGCATCAAATTACTAACTTAAGCATTAGAGCGACCTCGCCGGGCTAGCCACCCCGGGTTCTTTGATCTTGTTCTGCAGATTTACTTAGCTCGCCGTCCGACTAGAAGCCAGATCATCCTCCAGCAGGGAGCAGTCAGATTGCACAACATCAGGTTCAACTATTTGGTTGGGCAGAACTAGAACCCCGTTCCCATTTATGATGGAATGGCATTTTTCCATTTGAAGGAATGGGATTTCTTCCTCCTTTAAAATGAAATTCCATTGTAACTGATTTTAATTCTTTTTCCCATTCTTGTCTCTAAAACAAACAGACCAGGGGAATAAATAGACCATTCCAAGGGATTTTCATTCTAATTCCGAATCTTAGGACTGCAAATAAGTTGGATCAGATCTAATCCGAATCTGGTACAAATCCATTAAGAGGCGAATTCGGATATCCAATCGGATCGGATCAGAAAAACTGATCCGTTAACTTAATGAATTGAATTCAGATATTGGCCGATCTGATCCGATCTGAATTGATGAAATAATCAGGAATTTTAGTAAGTACAGGCATCGATCGTTTAAAGACCACCTTCAACATCCCCAAACAAGGCCCATGGACCTGTTTCTAAACGGAAATTGCGACTTCCTTCACTGTTGAAGCTGGCCGAGCCAGAGGTCCACTAGACTTGATATTGAATATGAATGGTTATCAATGCCAAAGTCAAAAGTCAACCATTAAACCTTCACTCTAACAAGAACCGTGTATTTGATTACATGAGAGCAATGACACAAATGTTGTTTGATAATACTACAACATCCGAGGACTCCATCCATGGTCCATGATAAGGGTGAATGACCCAAGCAAGAGTATGTAGGATGGGCAAATGAATTCGTAATTTTTTTTTATGTGGGAAAGTTATTTATTCACTTGAGAAGTGTGATATTCAAGGAGTGTAGATATATTAGTCAATGGAAACCAAAATCTCAAAATCCAAAAAACAAATGAGCCCTTGATTATAAGTTAAGGTTTTGTCATGTTGAACCGTGTTATGTATCCAGGACCAAGTAAAGTAATCAAAACAGCTTTGTTTTTAATCTACAAAACAACTTCAATGAATAAGTTTAAGTAAATTAGGCCGAGTAAAAATTAACATAAATTAATAAATTAGTTTTTGATAAGTAACTTACCATAAACCTTGTGACCAATTAACAGTAAAGAGTTAGATGAAGAGTGAGAAGATGCTCTACAAAATCCAACTTTGGCACTGGGAGACAACATACACGACATTTGAATTCCTTCGCATCAAGATATCAAGATTTAGGAAACATATCCAACCCAACAATATCGCGGGATGAACTAGTCTCAAGTTTCATCAAGTCATTTTCTATTAAACAAATTCATATATATATATATATATATATATATATATATATATATAGGCAGGCTGTGATTCCAATAGGAGTGGAGCACGTCAGCATCACATGAGACTTGAGTAACAAGCCTGATAATGAGGTTAAAAATTAATGGAACCTCCACTGTATATCTGTATCAAATCTCAAGTTTCCTTCTTTCCAAGATACGGAATGCTTCTGTGGATGTAGAAACTAGCTTTATACAAGTTAGCAAGGTGACAAGATTCCCTGTAAGTAAAAACTTTGAAAGTATAGAAATCCAATCACACACATTGAGAATATCTTCCCATGAATTAAACATACATATATGAAAATATTTTCAACTAATGTACGACAGAAAGTTATGTGCATAGAGTTTTTGCTTGTAGGAGATCTAAGCTCATTAGGAAGAGAATACCCGTGCATCATCGTATTTAAATCACATACGGGACACGCATACACACTTCAAACTGAGGGATCCTAAATGCACAAGATGTATTATTTTTTCATGGGACTAGGTTAACCCTTCTTGGCACATTCTCCCCCATTTCCTCCAGGGTCCTCCTTAGCCTCACTTAAAGGGGTATATCGGGGATACTTATTTAGCATTGGGTCTGGGCCCTCGGTCTGAATCCATTCAAATTTTAGCAAATGATCAACATCAGCCCGAGCCCGCCCAAGTTGCAGTCTTGCATAATTTAATTTACTTGGACAAAATTTAATGCAAATGCCTGCTCACATACTCCTTTACCAATAGTAGATTATGAAGTCAGTATTGCATCGAGCCCCTTACAAGTTGCAACAATAGTTGCTAGACTCGCACTTGACACTTGATCCAACCATCACCATCACCAGGTAGTGTTTCCGATAAGGGAAATTTAGATTCATTCATAATTGGAATCGGAACCAAAGTCCTTCAGAGTTAGAATCAAAATGATCTATTCCCATACTCGGAGAGATAATGGCTGGGTGGAATGGGAAAAGGGTTCTGATTCTGTCCAACCAAACAATATCTCATTCCAGACCTCCATTTCCGCAAGCCAAATAGGCCCACAGTTTTCAATTTTTCCTAACACCGAGTAAAACCGGGCTTGGACTGGATGGTTTATCTAAATCCAAGAGATAAGGAAACTCAACTGGGCGGTTTTTGTTAAATTGTTCGGGTTTTATTTATATGACAATAGAAAAGAGGACCCTACTAGGCTAGGCTACTACACTCATGACATGATTCACCATAACCGGAAAAAGTCAAGCAAACGAACGGTGAATGGCTAGCTGAGTCGCTGTCAAGTGTCAAATCTTTCTAGGAGACTAGGACATGATATCTTCCCTATTTAATTAGAATTTAAGGTCCAACCACGGTTAGATCGCGGATCTGGAACCCAATCACTTCAATGGGTTGATGAACCATCTGAGTCTAATTAGCAATGGTTAGTATTGCATTGACTTTTACACATGTATTCCAGATGGTCAAACGGGGCATCCCTTCCAAATATTAGGAGTGATAATGGTCCGGGCCGAGCTGGGCCTAAACTCAAAAACCTGGTCCCAGTCTCAGAAATTTGCGGGCTGGGCCAGGCCAAGAATGATCACCTTAGGCACACGATAAAACCCGTGTAACTGCAGGTTCTCAGCAACATGGATGGTGAACCTCGTGCACCCCGCTCTATCCCCAACCTTTAATCCCCCTCTAATCTATAATATGTAATACAAAAAAAAAAACACATTATGAATTTATGATCTACCTAGGACTAGGAGAAGCCCATTAATTCGGTACTCAATTATGAATTCATGAGGATTGAGGAGCCTAGCAACTGGGCCAAATGATGTGCTTATGTAATGAATAGGGAGACCGACCATATTTCTCATCATTCATAAAAAAAGAATTAGGAGATCATGTCAGTCCAACAAAATTATGTGTATTTGTGTTTTCCAAAAGAAGAACCCGAGATGTGACAAGAGCAAAGCCCTCCTCTACAAAAATTCAAACGGTGGTGGATGTGAAGTTGTAGATATACGCTACTGACTTTCATCAGCAACTCCTTTGTGCTTTCAGCAATTTCCTTGCCCTGCATTTTGTTTTGAGATTTCATGAAATCAATGAACCACAAACGGGTAGATTTCTAAACAGGATAAGATGATGGCAATACCCAAGTTCGCAGATCTATGACTACTCAGAAACAACTTGGATCACTAATGTTTTATGGCAATGAGTTTCTAAAACGAGTCAGGAAGATTTATGTAATCTAAAAACTGAATTTTTAATGCCATTCATACAACTCCATTCAACTGTAACAATTCTGTAGCTTGGTAAAACTGATGATTAGTGAATGTTTTGTGTTGTCTTCATGCTTTCTTGCTTGCTTGCTTTTTTTTTTTTTTTTTTTTCTTTTGTGTATCTGTGTGTTGGATGGGTGGGGGATGCTCAACAAAATTGTGTATGATTTTCCCTGATAAAATTGTTCCACTATTATGACATTTTTAACTCATTGCCAATAGATCCAAATGTATGGCATAATTTCACCAAGCCACAGATCAAATCAGCATGTTTTCCAACTGAGTTCCACCTACTGTTATGATGTTCTTACCATAGCAACTGATAAGGTGTCCCATACTCCATCACTAGGCATTAGTATTAAACAGAAACATCATAGATTAGAGGAGTCCCAGCTAGCATCAACGGCCCTGATGATCTTCTGATGCAATTTGGCCCCAGAGCATGCAATTATTCCTCGATCAAGACCTTCTAGGTAAATGCCCTTGGAGAAATCCAATTGACGCCCTCCAGCATCTGTCACCACACCACCGGCCTCTTGTATAATCAGTATGCCAGCCGCATGGTCCCATATCTTCTCCTTGTATCCAGTTTTTGCGAACTTCATAAAAATCTCAGCATCTCCCCGAGCTATGGCTGCATATTTCACCATGCTGTAGACACGTAATGGCTGATTTCTGCCATTGGAGAACAGCGATAATTGATTTAAAACATGGATCCTGGTGAAAACTTTTGGTGGTTATATATGCAATAAATTACAAGGAAACATGATATGTTAACACACAATATATAAATTGGCATGCATGTAGGCTGAGAAGGGCATGCTATAAAACTTTTTGGATGATTTTGTTCATCCAATTTTCTCATGCAACCAACCTATAAAAGGTATCTCTGTTTATTCAAAAACATCTCCTAGATGCAGTTTGATGGAAATAAACCGTGCTTTTATTTCTTTCTTCTGGGCAAAGGCTATATTTACAAGATAACCTATTTTAGCCCAATTTCATTTTTAGGCTACCCACCATATTCATGTCAATAACCAACTATGCATTCAACTTGCCTAATAAATTGTACAGGAAAAAGTGAAATGTTAGGCTGTGTTTGGTTGAAGGGAAACAGATGTTTCCTTGAAAAATAAATAACTTTTCTAATTTTCCTGGTGTTTTACTTAACTTTGGAAATAAACCAGAATAGTTGAGAAATATACTAGTGTTGCAAGATAATTCAGAGACCAACCTCTGTTAGGAAATTTCCTAGTGGAAAATTACGAAGGAATGACATTTTCTTGCAATTAGTACTCACGACTGTAACTTAAGAATGGGATGCAATAAAAAATAAAAATAACTGTAACATAAGAATGGGATGCAATAAGAAAAAAAAAACCTGTAACTTAAGAATGGGATGCAAAAGATAATATACCTAAGGCCAACGCTGTGTGCTAGCCCTGCTGTGAATGAGTGGGATGAATTTGCCCTTTCAACGGGTTCACAGAATGTTGCCAGTGCTGGATCATCAATGGAGGATACACAAATTGGCTTTGCAGTTAGTCTCTGGTTTTCTTGGACCAATGGCTGCATCCATGTCTCTCCACTTCCTCTCTTTGCATATATTACACAACCTTTGTCCCAAGATTCAGATGAAGGTGAAGATAACTTAGACATGATCCTGTAATAGCGATGGTGATAATTTAACCACTCCTTCTTCATTGGGTAGTTGGGGCACCCAAGAACTCCAACTACAACTTCTCCATCCTCTATCAATGCTAAAGCCACAGCATATTGATCACCCCGTACAAATCCCAATGTACCATCAACAGGGTCCAGCACCCAATATCTTCCAGTTGGCCCTCCTGTTGAGTTGCATCGGCTGATGGCCTCCAGGACCTCTGAAGTTCCAAGGGCCCTAGTGGGACCTATAAGGCCATACTTAGGAGCTTCAGCGAGGCACTCATTCACGGTGTTAACTACAGTTTCCAACAGGCCTACAGAATCAGCCCTGGAAAGAGTTTGGACATCTTCCTCAGCAACAATTGCAACATTTTTGCTCCCAAAGCACTCAGACAGCATCCAACTAACAGTGGCTTGGACACTCCAATCTGTTTACTCAGTGATCAAGAGAATTAGTCAGTTTATCACTAATCAAAGAATGAAAAGGGGATCATGTAACTATAAAAATGGACTAAAATAATTTTGTAGAGTGATGGTTGATAACTCATAAACCAGTTGAAAACAGACAAAAAAAGATACACGGATATATAATATAACCTCAAGCAGGATGATCATTTGAAGACCAGCATTTTCATCAAAACATAAAATCGCTGTAGAAATAAAAAGGTTATCTTGAATTGGAGAGCGAGAACACATCCCAAGCATTTCTCAAAAATGAAAGACAAGAAAAGAAGAAAAATGATATCAAATTCTTCTGGGAAGGTTTTTGTCAAATGATCCTTCACATGCAGGAGAATAGAGACGACACAAACATTAGGTGTCACTTTCATGGTTGCACTTGAGTGAGACACATTAAGTACTTGGTGTTTCAACACCAAGCAGGTCCAGCACCAAATTCTTGTATTCATTTTATGATTCACTCACACATATACTTTAAGGAAAACATCATTACAGAGGCCTAAGAGATATCCGTATAATACATGCCCTTAAAAGATCATTCCCCAGCCAAAGTAGAGGAATTTTGGGTAGACAGGAAATCTGCTTTCTAGATTGATGATAAATGTCAATCCAAGTCAAATATGGACATTTGTCATTATTGTAGTAGTGCATCCCATCTCTACCTTCCTTACCGGTAGGAAATACCTAGCATAGGTATTGACCAGGCACTTATTGCCACCTTACCCATGAGCCTAGCCAGAACTTGAAAAGCTTTTCATACTATATAAAACCAACCAGTAAAACCCCATTGATAACTAAAGAGAAACAGTTGGAAGCATTATGCCATTATGTACACATACTTTCTAGAAACTGTGACTTCACAAACTTTGATATTCTCTCAAATTTTGGATGACTGTATCTATGTTCATAGAAAGTGACATCATGGCTTCTTGAGGATCTCATAATATAATAAGAAATCCAACATTCTGCTCAAGGATTTATCCACTTTCCAGAAGCTTACCTAGTCTGTCCTTAAGTGCAAGAAATTTAGCAGATAGATGATGACACATGGTTCTTCCTAAGACTGCAACCTAACCTATAAGTAACAAACTTAATGCAATGATCATAATTCATCAACATTAATTGCACTGGTTTCAACAACATCAAAGTCTTTCCAACTGTTGGCCCTTCTCCGTGCTTGAACTTTTCATCATTCAGAAGAGGCATTCTGTTGTATACTCTATTGTAACAAGTTCTTATTGGGGAGCATTTTGAATTAGCCAACATTCTAACCACAGTCCTAATTAGAAAATATGTTGTAGGGCATCTGCCACAGGAAAATACTGCAGTAGATGAATTGTAATACATACATGATACAACAAATGCATAAGATTATTTCTGCTTATAGAAAGAAAATGGGTATATGTAGACTTTTGTGCCCATTCTTTATGTGATAAAGAAAAATAAAGGATACTAGAATATGAGAGACACAGAAGTTCCTCTCATCACCAGAAAAGGGTGAAGTCATCCCTGTTTCATCCAAAGACTTGTCAAGATTCACATTCTTAATTCACACCTAGGTTCTCCTTCATTGGATGAGACATTAGCTACATAAAAACAGTACCAGAAATCAACAGAGCATTATAAGCCAATTAGTCACCTCCCAGAGAATCAACCGACCAAACCCAAAACCAATCAGCAAATTCGTGATGGTAACCACTTGAAATGAAACGAAACCCACAACCCCAGAGAACATGGAAAGTTTCATGTTTTGGCATCATATGTACAAGAATTGTACAGCACTACCGAATCTTTATGTTTTAGCATCATCTCAGCAATCATTTTCCAAATAAAATCCCAATAAAGCAAACAATTCGACGCCAATCAACTAACTGACGAAAAAAAAAAAAACACCCGCCAAAACCAAAGAAAAAAAATGGTGAGAAGGCTAAAAGAACAGAGATCCCATTAACCACAACTGTAATAGGCAAAAGGAACATCCCGTTTCCCCATTTAGATGCATCTCAAATGCAAGCCAACACTAACCCAAAAACATACAGTCAAACATAATCACCAAAAAGAAATTGTATTGGAGAAAGATTTGATCTAATTACCTGCAACTGTGACAGGAGAATCATCATCCTTGGATTTAACCTGATTGATGCCCTTGGTAATCAAGCTCTCTTGCACCCTCTGACAGAGAGAGCAAGCCATTTGGACGACTCTAACAGCAACATCCAACTCTTTTGAATATCTCTCTGATTCAGGGGATCTAAGCCCCAACTTCGCATCCTCCATGATCGATGAAGATGAATGATGATACCCAGAACGAGAAAAAGCGTTCTCTTGAGAGACCGACCTTCCTAAAACATGATAAGCAGCATTTACTACTGGAAACAGAGCTCCTACGTACTTGGATAGTTGGATGTCAGATTCTTCCTTCCTTCTATATGGGAGTTGTTGCCTAACTTGTGTTGTGTGGCCAGTAAGTTGCAACCCTCCACAGAACAACGGCATTAACTCGTCTCAATTTAATATCGTTTTTGCCTAGTACAAAAAAAGTCTAAATTGTTTTCGCTAATAGATGATTTTATCCTTGGTTGATTATGTGGGTCTTGTGATTTGTGAACAATTAAAAAAACAATTGAAGATCAGAGTGCCACATCTCTCTCCCTATCTTATATGGCATATGCCCTTCACTACAAGGATGGACCAACACTTGATTAACGTGACATTTATGACTAATTCATGCACGGAGAGAGTGGGGATGAATGGGGAGATTAATTTTTATTATCACCGTGTAAGAACATGGAGATCTCTCCCAAAAAAGTGTAAGAACAAAGAGAGGGGGAGGAAGGACGAATAGACCGAAGTTTTTTATTGCAACCATGTAAGACATAGATTACAAAGAGGATAATTTAAGCTAGGATGTATGAAATGCATGTAGAAAGAATTCCTTTTGGGCATTGTATATGGTGTTGGGTTGCCGTGCTGTTTGGTTCAGGGCAGTGTTTGGAATATTCTCTTCTAATTTTGGCATCTTGTCTCGATCCTTTCCCCCTTTGAAAGGAGTGCCAACAAACAGATTTTATTCTTAAGGGGTGTTCTATTTTTTTTTTTTTTGGATTTTGAGAGAAAGAAAGTTGGTCAATAGGATTTTGGTTCCCATTAACTAAGAATTTTTTGTTTTTTTTTTCAGATTAATGTGAGAATTAGGAAAAGTTTATTTTCCTATGCATCACTTATCCAGGTAAGTGAAACTCATCTCTTAGGTAGATAAATAGATTTTCCACTTAGGGGGAAAGTTGCCAATACAATGATACAAAAATACCCATTTTAATAATAGATTTACATAACTAAAATGATCATTACCTTTTTTATTTGGGAAATAAAAAAACATACGTAAATACACATACCCAATAAATATTTTCTAAGAAAAATTTACTCAGATAATTCCATTTACTCGGTCATTTTATGATCAGTTTTCTTTATATCATATGAACGGATAATTACAGAAAACCCCGTTTCAGTTGACTGGTAGGGAGACATCAAAATTCAACCCAACTTTGGTACTCCAAATTGCACAAGAAAAACATTCATACCAAAACACTGATAGTCATTGTGCCATTGTGTATCTTGTGCACTAGAATCTGATGATGACTATTGTTGAAATTAAGATTGAAGATTATATAAGATTTCTTGCATTTAGAAAATGATGATGACCACAAATAATCAATTAGTTATTTGGTAATTGATGGGATTCAGTGTTGCTGTTGACGATTGTTAAAGAAAGAGAATGAAATTTGAAAGTAAAACCTCCTGTAATAAATTAATCAAGTCTTGTGATTAATCAATAGCTTGGAGACACACGTAGGCTTCCTGGAAATACCCTAAAGTGTTCCAAATTGGAGATTTTTAACTGAATTTAAACATTGAGATGGGCAAAAGCCTTTGCACCACTTTCTCCCTACTGAGATCTTAGATTCTTAGGATCCTGGGTCCTGTTCAAAAATCAATTTTATGCCAACTTTACCTTGTAAGCAAACCAATGGTTGGCCTAGTATTTGGAAGGTGGGCTAGTATCCTCTATACTAGTTATTTCACCTCTATATAGCTGAAGTGGGTGAACTGAATGTTTTATTGTTTTTGTCTTTTCAGTTAAGTAATCATACAATAAGGGAAAGGAGTGTCAATTAGATTAGATTTGGTTCAACCCGATCCAGTCTAATATGCGTCCATTATATATGGATCAGGTCTAAATGTCCAATCCAATCTGATGAATACTCTGGACCATTTTGGACCAGTTTAATTCAATGTCTAGATCATCCAATCTGTTCAAATTGGTTTTAATTTAGATTGGTTCCAACCCTAACCTGGTCCATTGACACTTGCATTCTTATCTTTTATCAATGGACTGGATATTTATTCAATCTAACCCAATCTAATATAAATCCATTACGGATGGACCAGGTCCAATCCAATCCAATAAATACTTTAGACCGCATTAAGTCTGAACAGATCCAATTCAATGTCTTGTTGGTCTGTCTAATCCATCTAAATTTATTTTGATTTGGATGAATCCAACCCAATACCGGTCCAACATGCTATTCAGCCATTAAAAAACAAATTTACAAGTCATTCAGTTCACAGCTTCTTCATACTTTAACAATTATCAAACGCCCTCTTAATTTGCACAACTCAAAAATTTAGGATCCGTTTGGCGTGTCATTCCGTTCAGTCTTTTTTCCGTTTAGTACGTGGAAGATCTAGCCGCCAAAAGACAAGATGCCAAAAAGATGTGAGAAGCCCATTTTGGGCTGATTTCGAGAAGCTCCAAAAGAAGCTTCTCGCGTCTTTCGCATTTTAATCTCATGCGGAAAGACGCGAAACGATGCACAAAAAGATGTACATCTACCAAATGATCTTTAGGCTGCTCAGATCTTTATGCATCTACCAGACGTGCATCTTCTCAAAAAGACTTGCCAAACGGATGCAACAATAAATAAGAGCAAGAACAAGATGAGAAAGTAGATGGGTCCGACCACTAAATATATATATTAATTAGTAGCAACGTGTCATCTATGATATTAAAATATTTTTTGTTCTAATTAAAGGTTAGTTTGTATCTCCATTCTTTCTGGTTCTTCCTTACCCATTTATCTTTGTTGTTCTATCGTGTTTGTGTCTCTTTCTTGGAGATACTTTTTAGCTAATTCAGTTATATTTATAATTACAGGCTTAACATGACTGAATATTTATTGATGGCCAAACATCCTCCTTATCTGTAATCAATCAGTGGAGACAATTTTTTTTTTTATGTAGTGGAGACTATTGCACTAGTTCTATTTTACTCGTATATGATCAATCAGGGTCAAGGGTTAAAGTATCGATATGATACACTCGATATGAGGTGTATTGTATATGTATTCATGTTCATCGATACATGATATGTTATAACTCTATGTATATCATCTCAGTCATGTGTATTGGTACGATGTCATTGTATCGGTGCGTATCACACTGTATCGGTAGATACGGCCCGATGCTCACTAATACAGAAACATATCGAATCTTAATTTGATGACATATTTAAATTTTGATTTAAGATTTTATTTTTTCCAAAAAATTAAATAAGAACTGAAAATTATAAAGTTAATTTATTTTATTTATCTTAAACGATTTATATATTTTACTTTACATATAATTTATATGTTAAAAATGAAAACATATTTATTATTTGAAAAATAGAGTTATTTTTATATAAAAATTCTAAATAAATAAATTTTCCCAAAAAATTAATAAAAATGGTAAGTTATAATTATAAAAACTTAACTAAGTAATTTAATTTAATTTTCCCAAAAGAATAATAAAAACTAAAAATTATAAAAATAATTTATTTTATCTATCTTAAATGATTTACATGTTTTATTTTAAAATTATATGTAAAATAAAAAATTGTATGTTAAATGTAAAAATATATTTATTATTTTAAAAATATAGGTTAGTTATATAAAAATACTAAATAAAAAGTTTTCCCAAAAAATTAATAAAAACTGAAAATTATAATTACAAAAACTGAAATGGAGTGATAATTATTGTATGATATGTACATCTTCTAGAGTCCCGATATTGTTGATTGTAATGTTTCTCTTTATATTAAAGTGTGCATTTCTCATGTATTGATATGCCATTCATAGTACTTCCGTTGGTTTCTCTCCCTTTGATTTTAGGGTTAGGGTTTTCGTTAGAGGCGCTCTCACGGGGATTCCTTTGGGGGTGGCTCCCTTCAAGCCTGAGGGGAGCCGCCCATCTGGGCTCTCCTTCCCCTTCCTCCTTCTAGTTTCTCTCCCTTTCTCTGTGTTTTGAGAGAGCCTTCCTCTTGAATTTTCTCGAGACTTCATCTTGAGTTTTCTCATGCTTTTGGGTGATTGTTATTGGTGGATGTGGCTTCATGATTGTTGTCTTTGTTTGAATTTGTTCGCGGTTCTCCGGCAGATGCTGTTCAAGGTGAGTTTCGTTCGTAGTTCCTCTAACAATGGCAGTCGTTTGGATTTCTACTAGAAGATTTGCTCGCCGTATGTGGTGGATTGGAGATGTGTTTTTCTACTTCTGTTGGTGATGTTTATTCACCTTTATTTGGTTGCAGAAGTTCTTTATGTTCTTCTTCATCCATTTCTATATTTTGTTCTCTTGAGAAATTGTTTCTGGGTTTTTCTGATGGGCTTTTTGGCATTTTTGTATCAATTTCTTGATTGAATGAAATATGAAGCCTATTAGCGGTTAAAAAAAATATGCCATTCATAGTTAATTCAACTTTAGAGTTAGTGTTATAACATATTTATGTGATTTGTATGCATTTCCCTACCGTATGCAAGCATTTTTTTTATATCTTTTGTTCATATCCATATTCATATCCGAGCCATCTAATATGATATTTGATACTGATACTTTAATTCCTGCTCAAGGTGTAATTTATCTTTAACTCAATTCTTTCCTTTAGATTTCAATTATTTGTTCTTTGATACTATATGCAAGCATTTTTTTTATATCTTTTGTTCATATCCATATTCATATCCGAACTATCTAGTATGATATTCGATACCGATACTTTAATTCCTACTCTGGGTGCAATTTATCTTTAACTCAATTCTTTCCTTTAGATTTCAATTATTTGTTCTTTGATAAAGTCTGGATAATGTATATATAATTTTCCTCTAAAAAAATGAAGTATCTACGTGATGTTAACACACTCCAAAAGGAATATCTTTTTTCGTAATAGCCAAAAGGAATATCTAAAAACTATTAAAAATGAGCAGAAACAATTTCACCAAAAGCAAGATGACAAAAGGATAGATGGGTTCAGATTTATTATCAAGTCTTTCTTGTACAATATTTCTATTGTTTTCCTATACAAATAAATAGGGGGTCTCTCTGTCTTCTTATGGACATGATTAACTTGTTAAAAGGAGAAGGGTTTACCCAAAATAAATAAATAAATAAATAAAAGAAGAAGGGATGTGCCCAAATCACTTTTCATATAATTGTTAGACAATTTTGTATGCCCTTAGCTTCAATCGGAATGATGTACTTTATGAGTTTATTGTAAATGAATAAAAGTGCATATTTGATTCATGTTACCTTGGTATGTTTTTGTGTAATACCCTTAAACTGGACACTTAATGAGACTCGTGTTAGTTTAGAATGTTCACAGCCAGTGGATCGGTCTAGGGAGATCTATCCTGACAAGGCTGACACTGTGGTGCCACCAAGTCGGTTGGGGTGGCCTGTCTCAGCTGCCAGGGTGAGACCCCAGGCACATACAGTGTAGGATTAATTGAATCTTTGAACTGGACCAGATTTCCAGTATTGC